GGAAGAATCAAAATATACTAAAAGGGTAGAAGAGTAGTAGCAAAAGCCTAATGTTTTCTCTCCATTTTTTGTAGGAAAATTGAGAAGACAGATTTCCACAGCAATAGCTGTGCTTCTGGAGCTATAGCTGTGGAAATCTGGGGAGAAATTTTGAAGACCAGAAACTTGCAGCTATAGCTGTGGTTCTGCAGCTATAGCTGTGCAAATATGGAATGCTCATTTTTGGTTCCAGAGACTTGAAGCTAAAGCTGCAGGTCCAAAGCTTGAGCGTTGAGGCTTGAGAGATCAAGGAAAAGCCAGAGAGACTCACAGCCATAGTTGTGGTTTCACAGCTACAGCTCAGGGAGTTGCTTAATCATGAAGGAGTTTCCACAGCCATGGCTGCAGAGCTACAGCTACAGCACCAGAAGGAGTTTTATTTTATAACAAAAAATTTAGATAATTTATTTTTTTATTTGTACATGTATGTATAAGTTATCCAGCTTAATATTTCTCTTAGTTCACTAGCAGTAGTGCGATTCCACTAAGTGTAGAGACCATGGCAGGTCGTTAGAGTAAGTGCATTTTTTCTCTTCTCTCTCATTTTAGACTAATAACAAGCTTAACTAATTTAGTATTATTTATTTTAACCAACTTCTATGTCAACCCTCATCAAACTAGATACCAACCCGATCCATTAGGTTATTCAATTTGTTCATAAAAGAAATGAGAAGCAAGAAAACATCTTTGATCCCCATTAAAAAGAACAACCTCAAATAGATTAGATTAATATCTAATTTCGAGTAAAAATGCACCTACAATATATGACACTCTTATATATATTAGGATGTCACATGTTTTAGGTAAAAAAAACCTTCCCAAAGAGACAAAGAGGTGTAAAGAAGCCTCAAATCATCATTGTTTTGATGAAGCAATGTGATATCCCTAAAAAATGTAGGATCAATGACTATGGTCTTCCTTAAACCAAACATCAATATGCATTTATAAGTCCCAAAAGTAGAAAGGCATGTAAAACCAAAAGTTGTGATCATTTAAGCACAAAGATGGATTGTGTGGCACTGTGTAATAGTTATTGGAAAAGCAAATAAAATGACAACAATTTAATTTCAATGCATTATAATTTCATCTCAAAGAAGCTTGAGCCTAAGCAAGATAAGATTAAGTTCTTTTGTCCAAGATGAACTTGGGACTTAGGTGCTTATGTACTAGTTGAGCTAGTGTGGACCAAGGTATAATTTAAATGCCTACATTCAAACATAAGGATCTTTTGAAAAATTGACCCCCTATCTCAAACAAAAGATTAAGCATAGACGCATCAGGGAAGTGATGCTAACTATGGTCATACTAGCCTATAGCTCAACTTCTTAGGTATATTTCATCATCAATGGTCACAAAGGTGACTCGTAAAACAAGGGTCACTTATCAACCAGAGATAAGTATTAGTAAACATGTCCCAAAAGAGAGAGAGAATGTGATCAAGTAGTTATTGTGAAACAACCCATAAGTAAGGAGAAAAACTATACTATGTAAGATACATTGTCTAACTTAAACATAAAAAGGGTTATTATAATAAGTATCACTACATTACATGTTCGACGATTAGAGTTTGAAATATAGAATCAAGATACCTTCAAACTTGAGAGAAGTTGTCATAGATTCAAGCAAATACAATTATGTTTTGAATAACATATTTGGAGTCAACAAACTTAAATTAATTAAAATTATATAAATAAACTTTAAAATATAAAAATCAAAATTAACTACAAAAATATTAAAGCATATTTTTATAAAGTGATATTTTGTAATACCACACATGATCATCCCTTACTTCATGTCACTATTACACCTATTAGAGTTATAAAAGGTTGTGGTGATTTCGATAACTTCATAGTAACAACTGTACTTGTAGTCACATTATGTACTTTCTCTTCAACAATTTTTACAGCAAAAAAGGTATGGAATTGTAAAAATATCAACAACTTCATACCAATAATGGCAGATTTTTTTTGTGTATCATGGTGAAAATAGGAGGAGGACATCGCCATAAGAAGAATTTTTTACTCTAATAATACTTTTTTTAAAAAAAATTTCTAACATGAATCTCCCATCTAAATATTGACTTAGTTAAACTTCTTTATTATAGCTGTCAGAATTCAGTTCTCTGAAAACTAAATTCCGAACGGCCAAATTTTTTTATAATTAAAACTATTTTTATTAATTATATAAATTTGCATATAAAATAATTTATAATTATAAAATTAATAATATTAATAATTTATACTTTTATAAAGTAATAAATTTAATAACTTATATTTTTAATAAATTATAATTTTAATAATTTGTATATAAAATAATTTATAATTATAAAAATTAATAATGTTAATACCTTATAATATTAATAATTTACACTTTTATGAAGTAATAAATTTAATAACTTATATTTTTAATAAATTATAATTTTAATGAGTTATAAATTTAATAAATATAAGATATAATGTTAATAATTAATAATTTTAATAAGTTATAATTTTAATAATTTAAATTTAAGAATTTATAATCCGAAAATGAGAGCATGGTGGGGTCTCTTCCAAGTTCCAAGTCAGCGCATGGCGTCAACTCCCGAAGTTAGCGCGTGAATTAATCGTCCATTCAACTTCAACCGACTCAATATTTACGATTTTGCCATCACTCTTTCTTCCGTCTCTCTGTTCCCTTACAATCCTTCATTTCCAATATTTCCTTTCTTTTTTTTCTCTCCCTTTTCTCTTGACATGTCTTCTGCCGGCGGCGACGGTGACGGCGACGGCGGCGTTACCTCCGGCGACCCTCGCCAATACTTCTGCCACCAGTGCGACCGCACCGTCTCCGTTTCCCCTTCCCCCTCCACCGATCTCCTCTGCCCCGATTGCAACGGCGGCTTCCTCGAAGAGCTCGAAATCCCTAACCCTAACCCTAACCCTCCCAATCCATTCTTCTCCGACTTCCCCCTCGCCGGCGCCACCTCCTTTCCCCTCGTCCTCCCCGGCACCGCCTCGCCCTTCGACGATCTCTCCGCCCTCTTCGGCGCCCGATCCGACGCTGCCACCGGCGACGCCTTCGAACCCCTCGTCTTCCTCCAGAACTACTTCCAAACCCTCAGAGCCGGCGGCGCCAACCTCCAGCTCGTCATCGAGTCCGGCGACCCCGCCGGAGCGCTCCGATTCCCCGGCAACGCCACCCACGGCGACTACTTCTTCGGGCCTGGCCTCGAGGAGCTGATCCAGCACCTCGCCGAGAACGATCCCAACCGCTACGGCACCCCGCCGGCCTCAAAGTCCGCCGTCGAGGGGCTGCCGGACGTCACCGTCACGGAGGAGCTGCTGGCGTCGGACTCGGCGCAGTGCGCTGTGTGCAAAGACACCTTCGGACTCGGCGAGACCGCCAAGCAGATGCCGTGTAAGCATATATATCACGCGGATTGCATTTTGCCATGGTTGGAATTGCATAATTCTTGTCCCGTTTGTCGCTATGAGTTGCCCACAGATGATCCTGATTACGAGCAGAGGGCTCGTCGCGGTGGCGGCAGCAGCGGTGGCGGTGTTGCTGGTGGGCCGGCTCCCCAGGTGAATTGGAACTTGGCTGGTGGTTCTGCTGATTTGGCTGGTGGCAGTGGCGGTAGCGGTGGCGGCGGTGGTGATAATTTGCAGCGGAGGAGGTTTAGGGTGTCTATGCCTTGGCCGTTTAGGCAACTTGTTTCTTCTGCTGCTGAGACGAGTAATGTTGGGAATGCCAACAATGATAGCAACAATAACAACAGCAGTAACACCAATAGTGGGGACAATGGTAGGCAATTGAATTCTGGAAACAGGGGGAATCAGAATTTTGAGTCGGAGACCAGACAGGAAGATCTCGACTGAGGACCGCTCGTGTTTTGTATGTAAGTTTGGATGTTACCACTTTCTTTTGAGTGTTGTGTTGTGTTGTTGTTTGTTTAAGATGTCATAATTAACGTCATGAAGTAGCATATAAGTGATAAGTTATGCTGAGTTTGCTCTGGATTATTATCCTGATATACTATTTCTTTTTTTTTTCTTTTTTTTTTACTTTCCCTCTGATTCTTATCGAGTGGGGTCCGGTGACTGAAGGTATTTTGTATGGTTAAAATTTGTTGCACGCTAGCCGGTAGGTGAAAGGTTAGATGTAGGGTAGCTTTTCCTTTGAGCGTGCAGCTATGCAATATCTGTGAAATTACTACGAAGGAAAAATTCTCTCCTCTTCTTTAATTGGAGGTGCCTCAATCAATGGAATATTGTGGATTCTGAATTAAAAAATTCTGCTATGTAATTGTGCAGTGCTACATCTGTTTTTGGGGTGGGGGATTATGATGTTCTTGGTGTCTGTTCTATTTTGGTGGACGCATTGTAACATCTTGATAAAGTGATCACATTTCCTTGAATCAGATAGTATCTAAGCAGCATAAATTTCATTATTTTCTACCCTCCAAATCATGATAAGCGATGTTTCTGCCTTCCTAATGTAAAAACTGGTTTTCTCATTTAAATGGGAAAGCATCTGAAAGGACGGGTGGTGTATCTGTTAGAAACCTTGTGTAGTTTCATCATCAAAGCTTTTGACAACTTTAATTCTAATTTTTTGGATGGGGTAACACTTTGATTAACTAAGCTCTCTCTATGGGAAGGGAAATTCAGGAAAATTTCCTCTTGTTTCTTACTAAAATTGCAATGCATATATTCTATCTTACTCATATTTTAGTAAAAACCCTTTTAATTCCAATGTCTATCTTCAAAACTCAAAGTTTAGAGTATATCTTCCCAGGATTCCTCAATCAAACCGTATCATCCACAAAAAATATGCATTTAGGAACAATCTTTTGTATGTCTCTGGCAAGCACATCTATGACTAGATTAAACAAATGAGACTCAACATCTCATGTAAACCTATCTTTATAGGAAAATACTTGGTTTCACTTACAAGTGTTTGCACACTAGTATTTATCCTACATATATGTCTTGAATAGCTCCATATCATGTATTATACCACATGAACAATTTTCCTCTTCAAAGTCTTCCACAACATTTGGCACTCAAACATATACTTTTTCCAATAAATCTCATTATTCAATTTGATACCTTTCCATTAACCCTTGTAGAAGATAAATAGCTTCTGATACACACCTTGGCATACATATAAATTAATTCTCTGCAATCCTTGTCTTTTAACTTAATCTATGCTCATTAAGTTTATACCCATGTAGTTTATAATGCACCACCTACACTGCATATAATTATGGCTTCCATAAATTCAAATTTAAACTTTAAAAGGTAACTGCTTTGTTTCTCAAGTTCTTGATCAGTGCTCTTATGCTTTGTTTGGATGGGGAATGGAATAAAGAGAAAAGAAGATAGGAATAGAAGCAGGAAAGAAAGAAATAGAAAGGAAATACAGTGGAAAAGATATGTTTTTTGAATAGATGAAAATCATGAAATTAAGGAATGAATGAAATAAGAGGTAATAGGAAAATACCATTTTACCCTTAAAAATCTCTTGTAACAATAGAAAACCTGCAATGAATGGATAAAATCAAAACTTCTTGCACAACCCAATATCTCATTTTGTTGTTGTTCATAACAACATATGTAGTTCAGTCATAATGGGTGAAAAGACAGCACATTTGTCCCATTAACAATTTTGGGCTGCTCAGAAATGCGGTGATTCTGTGAAGATGTTGATGAGGGAGGAGTTGCTGTGATAAAATATTAAAATCTGACCCATTTCACACCTTGAATGAAAGGAAAGAATTTTATGCGTGAACAAACAAATTTTGACAATTTCCTACTCCTACTTCCCTTCAAACAAATGACTGAAATATTAACTCTCTCCCCCATCTCACTCCTATTTCCCTCCCTCATATTTCAGTTGAAACAAATGTTGCATTATAAAAAAATATTGGTTTGTAAAATGAAAACAGATTACCTCCCCCTGCCGCATTCACACCCTGCCCCTGGTTTGCACTTCCATTTTTGCACCTAAAATCATAGATCTGCTCCCCACCTCTGGTGGCACCTGAAAACACAGATCTGCTCCTCTTCCTTCTCCTCTCGCTCAACACTCAGCTTCTTGAAACCAAAAAACCTCTCAAGTCTCAAAATGTTTAACCTTACGTTTTTTAAATTTTAAACACATACTACATCGGTCCTAATTTGAACCGATATAAAATGATTGCTTCAAATTTCAAAATTGCAAAATGATTCCTATATTTTGTTATGTTGCTCTTTTCATATCATTGTGTTTGATTTGGGAACAAAAGTGAAAGGAAAGAAAGAGAAAGGAGTGGAAAAACAGTAGAAGGTGAGATGATTTTTAGGTTGTTTGGTAGAAAAGAAAGACGAAGGGAAGAAAATAGATATGCATATAAGATGACATAAATACCCTGAATAAAAAATTAATTGTGAAATAAATAGGGAGATTTTTGTCATTATACCAAAACAACTTTCTTTTTTCTCTTTTCTGCTCAATTTGAGTGGATTGCTACATTAAACATGACCCACTTGAAAATTCTTCTCTCCCCTTCCCATTGTACTACATACCAAACGAACTAATTGAAGGAAAAGAATTGACAGACCCTCATTTCTGTCCCCCTCATTTGCATACCAAGCGTACAGTCCTATCCTGATACACAACCATCAATGATTATTTTCTATGCATAACTGTTATTCTGCTTTCTAATAGATTTTTTTTTTTTGTCCTGCTACGGGTAACTTCCAGCCATCTAAACCAGAGACTAATTCTGCTAGCTGTATTGGACAGCCGCTAGCCCAAGGGGTTTTTGCACATGGCAGGGATCCAACATGGGATTTTTTGCTAAATAGATCATTTGCATAACGTGTGAGTGCAAGATGTCTAACTATTATGTCAACCTATCGAGTTCTAATAGATTTGCTATTACAAAGCCAACTATTTTCAATCACATTATTCCTAATAATTATCTTCATCCAATCCATTAATGGAACTAACTTGGATCTTAGTTCCCATCATCTACCAAATAAAACAAGCCAGGATCTTAGGGAATTGATGAATATGCCATACGTTTATTTACCATTTGCATTAAGACTAGAATCTCTTATTCCTTATCCAGGCACTGGAAAGCCTGTTAAATAGAATTTTGTTTACAGGCCACCTTCATTAATTTGCGCTGAAGTGTTCCAGTACTGCTAAAATGATACTTTTGAGAAATTATCTATACTGCTTGATCCTGATGCCATGCTTGATCCTGATGCCATACTTGTCCTTTAGTGAATTTGAATTGGATTTGACCGTGCCTTTTAATTTGCTTTCAAAAATATTTGATGACAATTGTACAGGGTGCTTTATAACTTCACTTATTTCATCGCTTAAGGGCCATGGCTTCATATGCTTCTATTTTTCTATTTTTCAAATCTGAAGGACCATATAGATATCAATTATGAACGCAAAAAAAAATTATGCTTCATATATTCATTGACTGATCATTATTGAAGTCATGTTATTTTCCAGGACTTCCTCTTGTCTTGAAATATTTCAATTTTTAACTCCTGAATTAGTCTCGAGTTATTGATAAACTTTCTATTGTTCACTGATGAACTTTATAGAAGTCATGCTTGCTTTCTTTCAGGCCTTGGTTTCTTGCAAGATTTTAACTGTGGATATTGTTTGTATGAATTATCTTTCTACTCATGCTTTCTGTTTTTCCCATCTGGCTGATTTACAAACAAAAGTCACCAAATTTCCTATGAAACTAAGAGGATGCTAATAAATAAAACCTTGGCCATCTTCCAAAAATGTGGTATGTGTTTTATCCATGTCAAAATTTCTATCTTCACAAGTGGAACAAAACTTCAATTTTGTTGCCAGTAACATTCATTGTAAAGAAAGTCATATCTTTTGGTGTATTACAATTTGATTAGATATTTATCACTTGGAATTTTTAAATTTTAAAGAGCAAGACTTATTATAAATACTATTGATTTGGTCGTTATCATTGTTAATCTCTTTACACATTTTTAATTTGGTCTCTACATATTGTTCTTGGAATGTGAGTATTACACTGTTTCTGCCCTTGATAGTGGGTTCTTAGACTTGAGTTTACCTTAGAAATCTTTATAAAATAGAAGTATAGTTACTCGTTCATTTTCTATTTTCCTTTTTTTTACCTTTTGCAGCATGCTACAATATTGTAGGCTTCTGCTTTATGATATTATGTATCAGATGTCATACACTTGGATCAGGTTTTCATTTAATTTTTTTTTTTTTGCAGGTATGAAGAGTTTTTCAAAGTTGCAGCATTTTGTTGAATAGAAAGGATGTTACATATCAATTAGTGGTTGTTGACAGTTGAAAATGTTATACTTGATTACAATGAACTTGTTCAACTGTCAATCGCCATTTTTAGAGTTCTTTATACAATTATATGTACATTATCGGTTCAATATTTTCTGAATTTTGTTTTTATTGCCTGAGTGTGACTCGTGTCCTTGGACTCTTCCAAACACCATTTCTACTCCTTTGTGTTAACCAATTCATTGTTCTGGTGCATTGGTAAACTATAATACTACAATGCACTTGGTCTTAGCTCCCCAATTTGAAGTTTTGGAATATCGTAGACTGGACTCAGTCTATTCGTGTTTTCTTAAAATAAATCGTTAGGTTTCCTTGTAGCAGTATAGTATGCTGAATCAATAAGTTCAGGACACGTTAGTTTCCTGCTTGGAAACGCCATTCTTAAATTGATATTTGGTGAATATTGTAATGACATTTGTTAACTTTACAAAGCACTTGTCAAAAAGGTGAAATTGTTCTCCCCCTAATGGTGGCACAAACTTTGCCGTCATTATAGGAGCTTAAGGTTGTGAATGAACGTAGGTGGAGGCTAATCCTTTGTTGAGAAGTTTCAATGCTTCCTGAAGTTGTGGCACTTAGGTTGCCTTGGAGCTTCAACTCTCTTGGAAGGATAATTCTGTGGAATTATTTAGCCAATACCAATTTAGCATTGACTCGGTTTCTTCAAAGATGATGTCATGTCTTGGAAGTGATAGATATTTAGGTATGTGTGTATCATACATTAGTTAATAAGTTACTTGTCGTGGCCCAGTCAATTGACCAGTTAATATAAATCGTTAGATGTATTATAAAATATAAAAAATCAACGGTTAGACAGTTGATAGAGATGGGAAGATGTTGAAGTTTTGAAGACTTTGGATTAGTCCATAACGTATATGCCAAAAGGAGCTAGCTGAGACCTAATACTAATTACTATCTTCTTCTAGTTACAACACAATGTTTTAAAATATTATATGAGACTAAGTACAGTAATCCTAGATCAGTGTTGTTAGCTAGTTTTGAAGCCTGTGCATTATTAGCCTTGTAAATGACTTTTTTTTTTTTTCTTTGGATGTTTGCTGCCAAACATTTTAAGGATACCTGTTGAATGAACTAGAAATAGAAAATTAATTATAAATATATTAAAAAAAAAAAAAAAAACTGCTTTTATATTTAGTACTTTTTTTTTTTTTGATGATATAGTACTTTATATTTTATCAATTAGTACTAACAAAACCTTTATGTAGAAAAACAATTTTGAGCTTAAAAGAATTGAACTATGTCACTTATATATATTGAGGTACATGAATCAAATACCCAAAAAAATATGAAAATTAATTTTAATTATTAATAGTTGGATTTCATGCATAAAGTAAAAAAAAGTTTGTACAGTTGACTTGAAATAAAACATATCGGGAATTTAACCTACTTTTAACATTTTATATTAAATTATATGAAAATAAAAAGTTTAAATTAAATAATTATATAGTAAGTTTACAAATTATAAATAGGTATTAATACTAACAAATTAAGTTAAAGAGAGGTGTAATTCTAAAATCATGACACAAAAAATTAAATAATTATTTGAGTGCTTTAAATAGAAAAGTATAGGCATCTAATTGAGTATTAATGTATATATTAAATAAATAAATAAAAGTGCTAATAACATGACGTGTTACTGTATCTACCAATCTCTTTTCCATACATAACAAAGTCATGGAAATCTGTGTTTCCTTAAAACACAGATTTCCATACATAACAAACTCTTAACAACTTTTTGAGTTTTTTTCCTTTATTACAAGACTCTAGTAAACAGGGGATGTCTGTAAAACAAGTTTTTAATATGAAAAGTAGTTCATTTTCCTATTACCATGGGAATGCTAAATGTTTAATTATGTTAATCCCATGATATGGACACAAGTTTATGTCCGTTTTAGACAAAAACAAGTTCTCTTCCCTCATCCACTCACACGATGTGTGGCACGCAGCTTTTGGGTTAAAATATAAATTGATGAAAGTGATTGCATTTATACTTTATTTTATTTTTCATGACGTCATATATGAAATGAATTGATATATTTGGAGGAATGATATTTTCAAAGTATATTATTCATTTTTATATTCTTTTTACAGATATTCCCTACTCTATTGAAGTTAGACTAATTTAGCTGACTCCAAGTATTTTCATTCTCATTTTTAAACACAATAAAAAAAATAATTGTTAACACAAGATGAGTCAATTTGATAAATTATTTTAACTTATTTTGACAATTCTATCACATAATTATCACATCATTATTGAATAGATATTTGTTAAATGATTAAAAAATAATTAAAAAGATTAAAATTGATAAAAAAATATATTACGAAACTAAAAGTAAATTAAATAAAAGTTAAAGACTAAAATGAGTTAAAAATGTTTAAGAAATAAAAGTGAATTTCATAAATAAAAAAATAAAATTAAAGACTAATATTATAATTTAAAAAAAAAAAAAAATTCAGACAACAACCACATCGATGAATAAGAGATTAAAATCCATCCAGATATTTAAGAAATAAAAGTGAACTTTATAAAAAGATTAGGAGCCTAAATTATAATTTATATTACAAAAATATACATAAATGTTACGTCAAACTAACTATTGATACAGCAGCTGACATAACTATCACGTCATCATTCAATGATGGTAATTTATGGTAGGACAAACTCATTCTTTAAAAAAATAAACAGTAAAATCAGTTTAATGTTTTTTAGAACTAAAAATTTAGAAACTAAAATTACATTTTACCTTATTTTACATTGTAGTTATATCCTGTAGCATACCCCCCTCCCTCCCCTTACTCTGAATATAAAATTTTATCATATTATTAATCACACAAATAATGTAATCTTTAAAATAATACACATGATAGTATATTATAATGAAGACAGTTTTGAGTAAGCTTGCAGATTTTAATAAACCATCAATCTTGTATATATTATAAAAAAGAAAAAAGAAAAAAAAAATGAATCTTTAGAATGTGATGGAATCAATTGGCTTGCCTTATCGCAGCAGTATTTGACTTGATTAGTTGTTAGGCATTAGATTATGACAGTAATAAGTCTTCTTTTTTTATTTTTATTTTTTTACTTTTTAAGTAATGAGAAATTGCCTTTTTAACTAATGAAAGAAGACTTGAAAACAATTGGAGTAGAAGTGTAGTTTACCCAAATCCACATTCATTGATGAGTTATTACTTTCTAAAAGAATTATTTAAGTAAGCCATTCAGAGTAATACACTTAGTCACGGGTTAGGTATTAGGTGACAAGAAAATTGTCAATTAACATTATGTGTTTAAATTGTGATGATAGTCATGTATTGGAAAACAAAATTGTTGAAGATCACAGTCGACCGGTAGAATGGAATGATTGTAATATTACATTTTTTTTATCAATAAAATAATAGTATATATAAGGAAAAATAATTTTTTTAAATTAGGTATTGTAAAATAGTTACTAATCTTTTCTTAGAATTGTAAAATAATATATTTCATGCTCATAATAAATTTGAATCCTAAATACTTTATTTAAAAGACACAAGTCGTTATCATGTGTGACGATCAATATTAATTAAAGATAACTCTTATTTTATAAGTTAATTTTATAAAATTCAGTTAAACTTAAATCTACTTTATTAAAAAAAAAGTATTTGTATCATATTTTAGCGACTTATTTACTTGTCACTTAATTAAATGATGGAGTTTGAATACTAACTTTTGTAAATTATTGGTTGTTTGTCAAATTTAATTGGGAGACTTCTTGTATTTGATGAAAAATACTCTTTTGTAAAGAAAAAAAATAGTACTAAATAATTTAATTTTAATAATATTAAAAAACATTAAATTATAAATTATTCATTTAAACATATAATTTAAGATTGTATTATTATAATAGATAAAATAACACTTTTCTTTAAAGTGTAAAATTTAAATAACCTTTTATAACGATCTGTTAGATAATCACACTTTACATCTTAACTACTCGCAACATAAAACATAAACTAACTAAGAGTATCATGTAAGCACTTCCTTAATATACATACAACTATATATATATATATATGTATAGGAATTTAAACAACTAAAAATGTAGAAGTTCCTCCATGGAACACTTACATAAAACCTATATCTACACATACACACACATGACTACAAGATCCCAAAAAACTGAAAACTTAAAAGAGCTAGTTGCCAATCAACTAACAACTAATATGTAACTACATAAGAGTAGCCCACAACAGATTGTTATCCTCCAGCATGGCTCCCAAAACAAGGACTCCCCTTTAGACTATCTTTGTCCAACTCCTATATAAATATGATCATCACAGTCTATCCATAAGAAGCTATGCAAGGATAAGTTAATATTCAAAAGAATAATCATATAAAAAGTATAAAAGTAAAAACAACTAAACTACCAATGTCATCATGCAAACCACACAACAAGATATCTCATGGTTTACAACTTTATCAAGACAACATCACCATCTCAACATAGTATTCAATAACCTTTAGCAGTTAAACAACTTAACCACATACAACAACTTTTAACCTGCACTGCAACATATATGCAACAACACCTCAAAATGACATCAAACAACTTTGAAAGATAAGAAACTTAATCATTTCAACTTACAACACAACCAACACATTATATGCATAACACCTCAATTACATGCGTCGTCACATATTTAACTATGGGGATCTCCTACAACAATGGTGAGCAGTCCGAAATTAATGATCTCAAATTTTGGAAGAATGAATATCAAACAAAAAACATTTTACAAAAGACCAACACAACATTTTTTTATTTTATTTTACAATGACTAAAAATAATGATTTTAAATTTTAGAATAATTATAACACCCCAAAATTTTATAGTTAATAATAGTGTTTTTATTTTATAATTATTAATTGGATTGGTTTTAATAAGTGTTTTAATTATTGAAATATATGGTTTGTAATTAAATATGTTTTATTCAATATTTTGGGAGAAGGGAAGTGAACTGCAGTTAAATTATTTTATTGGAGGGTTAAGTGTGAGTTAAGAAATTATGGAGTTATGTCAGTTTCCTTCTTCTTACACTTCTCACTTTCGCTCTTTTATGCTTCATGCTCTGAAAAACTAGGAGAAGAATCAGAGATTATTGGAGATCACTCCA